AAAGAGAAAGGAGCCTAAAAAGTCAAAAAACCTTGAAAAAACACCATGAAAATTTCTCGAAAAATGTGATAGTAGAAGCCAAGTTTTAGACGATAAGTTCGTCAAAATCAATTCATTTTGGCATAAACCATAGATATTCTGAAAGAGGAGACTTCGCTGCATCTTCTTATGATAAAACTTCAATTTCGACTTATCTCTGAAAAATTGGATTTTCTGAGGGGGGCCACCCTTAATGTATGACCTCAGATATTCAACTTTTCATCGGGTAAAATACATACCGACACTCGATATTATGTATATAGATAGGTTGCCCTACGACCTCATACTCTCATATCGCACATATTTTTATAGTCCATCCAGCCTTCGGCCTTATAGTCTTATCTTCCTTGTAGCCCTATCTCTCTATTGCCTTAGTCCTTTCAGGGCCTATGCGTATCACAATATAATAGCCCTGGAGGATCTATGGGAACCCCCATAGGATAGCCCTTGAGGACCTATGGGTACCCTCATAGGATGGCCCTTGAGGACCTACAGGTACCCCCATAGGATAGCCCTTGGGGACCTTAAGTACCCCATATAATAGTCCCTGGAGATCTCCCCTTATAGCCTTATGTGACCTTTAACCTTTGACCCTTGAGCTTTGATCTTTGACCCGGCACAGACACAGACAGACACTGAACATTATATATATAGATAATATTTGATGATTTTGTCGAATTGTTCATTTGTTCCTATATGCATCTGAACTTAACGAATATAAAGTAATCATTATTACTTGTTAATACATATATATTTCATAGAATTCGAGAACTATTTAAAGACCGAATTTGGAAAATGAATAATATCTATCGATTAATGATTGATGTGAATTTATTTCTTTGCTGAATTGATAAAGATAAATTTATAAATATTTACTTCCTATTTTTCAGGATGATCTACCTACTTTAAAATGTTTTTCATTAATATGTTATGATAGTACTCAAGGATATGACAATTTAATTCTACCACTTCTTCGTCGAATGTCATATCTTGAAGAATTAACTTTATATCTTCATATCTTGGGTGGATCTACATTCATCTCTGGCACTCATCTTGATAATGAAATTCTTAGCCATATGCCACGACTTCATACATTCTCATTTTATTTCGCTTCTGAAAATGCCATTGCTGATCCAGATATTCATATATCTAATTCAGATATTGAACAAACGTTCACCACTATAGAACATCGACAGATGGCTTGTTTGATAGATTATTACAGCTGTAGGAAATTGATTTGTCGCGTCTTTTCACTTCCATTTAAATTTGATCGTCTCGAAAATATTACAAATAATATTCCAAATATTGTATTCAATTCTGTCAATCATTTGAAATTACGTGATAAATATCCATTCAAACACGAATTTTTCATTCGACTTGCTCGTGGTTTTCCATTTCTTAAAAGTTTATCTATTGACACTATTCTAGCACCAAACTGGAGATCTCACGAATATCATCGTTACCATATTGATTGGTGCTCAATTGTTGAATATCCTCACCTTATTTCACTTAACATCGATTCTGCAAATAGTTATTATGCTGAACATTTTCTCAATGAAACAAAAACACATCTACCTCGTTTAACGGAATTAAAAATCCGTTATGAAGATTTGGAAATGGTGACAAAAAACTTTACAAGAAATGAAACGCAACGTAATTGTGCTAAAGTGAAGCGATTAATTGTTAAACATTGCATAGTTTATCCGAAAGACGTTTATCATTATTTTCCTTTATTGTGACTTTCATGTTGTTCTGATATCATCTGAGTAAAAAGCTGTTATGTCAATTAGGATTTTTTTTTCTTAGAACATCAATTATGAAGCGAAAAATGTTTGTTGTTTATGAAGACAATATGCTTCTGAAAGCTATGCTCAGTGCGATTATTGATTTTTTTTCTACATTATTTAGCGATGATTGAAATATTGTGGGAAACTATGCGACAATACTAAAACTCTGGGTTTTGATGGTAATTAATTTTGCTCTTGGTTTAAGTAGGTATTGACGATTTTAAAAAAATTCCCGATCACACAAGATTAGATGCAAGAGTCTTCACACATCTAGATGATACAATATGAAAAATTGGTCGTTGTTACGAACAACTTTACAAATGATGCAACACAACACCATTTTAGTCAATTGAAACGACTAATATTTTTAATGGATTACTTGTCTATCCATAACATTATCATCTTTATTTTTCCTTCTTTGATAAAATAAATTGAGTGGCTCCTAAGACTTATATTCTGATTTGTTTTTTCTTTTCTTTTTGTCATACTGTTTCATAAATATTCGATGCAAAAAAAAATCGTTGTAATTGCCATTTGTTTTTTTCTTTGATAAAGAAATATGGGCGTGGGTGTGGGTGTGGGGTGTGGGTATTGTTCTTCCTTAATCCACACCCACACCCACGCCCACACCCACACCCAACCACACCCATACCCACACCCACACCCTATTTGCCAAATGATCCATGTTGAGTACAATGACAGAGGTAATCGATTGTGTTAAAAAGTGTCGATTTATTGTAGAAGAAATAAGCATAATTATCTGCCATTTCTATACTTGAACTCCATTTCAAAATATCGCCAGGTGAAGTGTTATTTAATAATAAATCTTTGAAAAATAGTTTTTCTCCTTGACTTGTACACTCCGTGTATGACATTTGCAGTGCAATGAAATCAGTAGATCGTAAGCAATACTTAATCGTCGATCTATCCTGCGCATTGTAGTAGACACAATCTTTGTACTCTCCAAATCCGTAGGTTTCTGTCTCATACAGCCATACATGGCTGTGGCTTTGTCCAAGCAAAATAAGTGTGATCAAAATAATGTTGTGTGCTATCATAAAAGTTTGTAAACTCTGAAATTTAAGGAAAGCATTCATATCAGAGCCCACATACTTTGTATTTCAATTGATATTACATTCTCTTAATTCTTGAAGTCGTAGTTATAGCCTCCCACATGGATGAAATTGGGGTATGGATGTAAATGTGATCGTAGGATTGAGTAAGTAAGTATAGAAATTACTCTAGTAAACATGAAGTGAAACTATAGCTATATACCTCTATGCCTGGGTAACAACGCAAAATTGATATAAACTTATGCACATACCTACTCTCATGCAGACGTAAACTATCGTCCACAATAGAAGATTCGTGGTCATATAATATTTTTAAGCGCACAAAATTTTCGAGCGGGTATACTTTTATTTTCCATTTAGTTTCGCCATTTTTTATTCAAGAAATTATTCAGAAAACCTAAGCAACTTTCGGGATACTAAAAGCCCACACATAATGCTAAGCTCACTCTTTTAAAATCTTCAGCTTACAGTCGTCAAAAAGATGCATATTTTCATGTAAACACACTAATTAAAATTCTCTGATATAAAAAAGATTAATTTATGGAGAGAATCTTCTATTACTTTGAATAGAAATTGTTTTCATTGACGCCTTCTGTTATGAAGTGACTTCTACAGTGAGGATAGCTTAATCAACACAATCTATTTGTTTAACCGCTTGCTCGTTTTCAGTAGCGTGAAACAGAATTCAATCTTGTGTAATGTTTTAAGTTAGTACTAGACGGTAGCAACTCACAGTTCTAAAAAATGATTGTTTTGTTGAGGCTCGGGTCCAGTAACTGGTTCTGCTTGAGACTTTGGTTTGGTGACCAACTCTTTTTTCACATAGACTCAGCGTAATGACAACAATAATGAAACAATTCTCTCAGTTTCATTTTTGCTTGTCAAAAAAAAGAATTGAATGGGTGATCAGGTTCTTGATTGTTGATTGTCACATGTCTCGCAAATACAAAAGTCACAACTGCAGATGTCAACTTTTCTGATCTTCCTCATACTACTAACTAGCATTAATCTACAGCCAAACTCACGACTACTGCAGTACTCCTGTGTAAAAACTGTGAGTAACCACGTCTGAATTGTTTTTCATTGTTCTTCGCAGGTTTTCCTGTTACTATATATCGCATCATAATCACGCATAGGCCAAATTTATTTTAGTCATCAACAGAAGAATAATGCATGCAAGCAACTTCTTTTCAAATAAGGCACGTCTAATATTTCACAGGTATATTCTTATATATAGAGAAGAATGTTTGTCTGCTTGTCAGTCTGCCTGTCTATCTGTCTGTTCTTCAGGGTGTGGGTGTGGGTGTGGGTGGGTGTGGGCGGGTGTGGGCGGGTGTGGGTGTGGGTGGGTGTGGGTGTTGTGTGCTTGTAGTTGTGGCTGTGTGTGGCAGAGACCGAAAACGAGTCGAGTACTCGACAAATCGACTCGACTCGAGTCGGTTCGGATGTGGGTGTGGGGTGTGGGTGTGGGTGTGAGTGTGGGTGTGGGTGTGAGTGTGGGTGTGGATGTGTGGGTGTGGGTGTAGGTTCTCTCTTCAACCCAACACACAACCACACCCACACCCACCCACACCCACACCCACACCCACACCCACACCCACACCCACACACCCACACCCACACCCACACCCACACCCTACTGGTGAGTGGCATCACAACAAAATGGAAACAAAAAAAAAAAGAGATGCCCGAAATAGCAATCATTCGTGAAGCGTGGGTGTGGGTGGGTGGGTGGGAATCGGGTTGTGCATGAAGAGGAGACCCATCCACACTCACAGACACTCACACCCATACCCACACCCATACCCGCAACTCGGTTTTTGACAAGATTTCGTCGGCTTTATGAAAATTCACATAGAACCTGATCGATTTCCTGTCGCATCCGATTGTTGGAATGATTCTTCTGGATAGTTTGAAGATTAACAAAGAATAAAGCCATGTAAACCTCTTTCATAATAGAAGACCCAGTGCCTTCTATTATAATCCGTCAAATTTTTTGAAATTTTTTGTCATTTCTGCTAGAAAAATCACAAAATTACTATGGAGTATCTCCATTGTGAGATCTTCTGTAATATGAGGAGGGAGTTTACTAACTTAGTTTGTTTTGAAATTATTTTTGGCAAATATGCGCCGGAAGGCATGCAGAGATACGCATGAATTTAGGGTGACAACTCCGACCTATAAATCGTCAGAGGATTTAACGATATTCTCTTGATTCCAATGCAGACTGTAATAGATGTGGTAGTGTTCTTTATCTTGTTAATAGAAGCAAATATATTGTGAATGAAAATTGTAGCTGCGTAGGGAATGTGCTGCAAGTGTTTTGCAACAAACTTACAAAAATTCATTAAGAAATTTTTCGAATGAAGAACGAAGAGATTATTGCACATTGTTCACTAAAGTAAATAGCTATATATTAATATATAATTTTTTTCAAATCAAATTCACTTGAATCAACAAGTAAAGTAGATTTGTCAACAAGATACGTATGTAAAGATCAATCATTGTCATAAAAATATCAAGTTTTTCCTTAACAAAAAGATGTCCAGTTTGTTATGTATTTTTCGTTGTTCGATTGTAAAAAGCAGCCTTGTAAGAATGCAATTGTTCTTACTTTTCGAATAGGGTGTACGGTGTGGGGTGTGGGGGTGGGGGTGGGGGTGTAGGTGGGTGTGGGGTGTGGGCGTGGATGTGGGTGGGTGTGGGTAGTCTGGGTTTAGATCAATGATTGAAGGCCGTTCGCACCCTCTTTGGTGAGGTTAATTAGCATGTCGTTTATTCTCAACACTAAGCAATTTAGCTGCTGTCGAAAAACATTTTTCAACAGTAAATCCAGTTGTCAGTCAAAAAAGATCTAATTTAGATCCAGCAACTGTTAATAATACTTTATTTTTTTCCTTTGATAGAGAATGAAAAAGTAAACGATTGATTGATTTTGCACTATGTCTTTATTGTATTCCTAGCCATCAATGAAAGGTTAGGAAAAAAACACACTTTAACGCACCCCATTTTTTAGGGATTCCGGAACTTCGCCAATAAGACTTTCGCCAATTATTGGCGAAAATGCAGAGGTGTATTGGCGGATCACCAAGGGATATATTGGCGATAGTCCACTGGAATTTCGCCAATTGGCGATTATCCAGGGGGATGCATTAGCGAAAGTCGAATAGATTTTCATTAATGGAGGTGGAATATTCATATAGTAAGTGATGTACAAGAACTATGCCTAGCATTATAAAGATGTACCTCAAGTCATACAGTTAGGAGTCTAGCTGATATCAATCTCTCTAACCAATACTACCGTTCTACTTCAATTTGAGAAAGGTCATTGGAAATTTGCCAATTGGCGAAAGTGCAAAGAGTATATTGGCGAACGTCCGGTAACCACTTTTTAGCATGCATATTTTCTCTAGAATATTTGCGTGTTTTTTTTGCGATATGCAGTCAAATAAATTAAATGATACAAAAAATACAAGTATGTTATAAGGATGTGATGAGAAAGTGAAGAATATAATTACGGTCGGAATAGGGAACAAAATGTTCTTCTTGTTTTGGTCTTTGAAATGAAGATTGATTTTATAATGTGATAATTTCGTCTCATTTTAAAAGCAATCACATACATAGAGGATGCCAACGATTGCAATGTGACATAAGAACTTTCTGGTCAGGGTTTTTTTCTAACCCAACAAAGCGATAAAACAACGATTAATCATTTGTAAAAATATTTAAAATTGTTTGCACATGTCATTTTAGTCTAGAAACAGTGAAAAATATAAATATCATTGAATATCACGTTCATGAAGAATTTTGTAACTTTGCTTGATTACATCTTAACAAGTTTTGATATATGCATAAACCAATTCGATTTACAACTCTTAG